GGATCCTCTCACCCTCAGCTGGCCTATCAGCAGCCAGGGCCGACCATAAAGGAGGCACCCAGGAAGTCTTCTCTCTCTCTCTCACTCTGGGCCTGTTGCTGATGAAGGAGCCTGCAGTGTTTAGCAACTCATTATCTTTGTATTGTCTGACCTTTTTGAAAGTGTGTGTGTTGAGAGGTGGAGGAGTTAGGTAAGTCTGGGGTACCCTGTACATTTCTCACCACGTCGCTAACTAATGTTCAGACACACTAGGTTAGCGGATTGTTGCCACCCCTGTATATTGTTTTGTCAAATTCTTTGTAGTTTAGTTAGTGAGGGTTTTTTTGTTTGAGTTTTGGTTTCAAAGGATAGATTTAGAGATAGGCCTGGTTTTGTTATGCTTGTTTCTTTTGTTTGGCACAATCCTTTGACTCCTCCTCCTCCTCACCAACAGAGTGTTTCAATTATATGTCTGTTCGGTTCTGGGTTTACACAAAATAAACCTTTTGTCAACTGTTACGCTGACTCCCTCATTTTTATTGGTTGTATGATATTGTCTCCAGGTCCCCTATACCTTAGTGAGGACGTAACACTAACTTTAAACTTAATAATATATATTATTAATCCCCTGTCTTCTATTTAAACATTGTTTATATTGTTTTATTTCTATTTTAGTTATTACTTTCCATTTTCAAATGGATGTTGGAGCCTCCCGCAGGGAAACACCCTGAAATAACCCCTTAATAAAGTATTTTTAAACATCATCTGAGGTGTTTCCCATGTCTCACCTGCACCACCTCTCTAGACCTCGGTCTGGGTTTTAAACACTTTTAGGGACACTTGGTTGACTTTATTTTAAGATATTTCCCCTCCCTGTGTGCCTACTAACCCGTGTGTATTTTATATTGTATATTTTACATATTTGTTTTATATTATACATATTTTAACATTTTGGGTTGATTTATTATACTTTATTTTTAAAAGCACTTATTTTAAAAAGCACTTTTATGTGTTTATTTTATAATTTTTTAACATTAATTTGACCTGCATGCCGATTTTAAACAAAGTCAACCTCGGTCCTGTTAGCCAGATGTTTTTTAACCCACTTACTAGGTCTTTTACCAGATGCTGTGGGACGCAGACTCGGACACTCCACCGGGGTAGACCCCCTCGGGGGGGCAGGAGTACAGGTTTTAATCCCGCCGCATACGTTCTGTGCTGCAGCCGCTGCCCTCTTTTATCCCTTTTATTCCATTTTTAAAAAACATTTTTAACCCTGAACAAACAGGGCTTTTATAAACTTGTATTGGGTTTACTCAGGAGTTTTTAATAAGGTTTTTAAACACAAAATATTGACCCGAGAGCCCGTGCACCACGCTGCGCTCCTACGGAGTGCCGCACGTTCCCCAAAACCCTAACCCTAACCTTAACCCTAACCCTAAATCCTAACCAAGCACTTTGAGTACTTTGTTTGTGCTTTTATTACCATTCAAATCTATAAACACATGTTTGGATATCTTAGAAACAAAGTTTAAGAAAATGTTTAACTTCATTTAACTTAGATATCTATTAGCTTATCTGGACTGTACAACCAATTGTTATACCATATCTCTGTGTTGTATGTCAATTAGGTCTGTTAAATTGACAGCAATTGAACATGGAAATGTATCACTATAAAAAAACTGGTTAAAGATAAAGTGTTGTATTCAATGTTTTTCCCCGCTTAACATACTGGTATTTTGGGGATGCTAGTGAACAGTGCCAATTACAGTTTTAATAGTAACTCAAATGTGTTAAGGTTTAACATGCCCTTCAGTTGTGTTTCTTGTTGAGTTATTGTGGAGCAGTGGTATTAATACAGTTACTAAGACCTCCATACAAAAAAATGTTATTCAATTAATTTATTGATTTTTTTTTTTTTAGTTCAAATCAATATGGCTTTAGGACTATAGTAGGTTTGAATAACAGATTTTGTGTTTTCAAACACATTTCCTGTTGCGTTCTACTATTTTTGTCGACAAGTAGCACTGAAAGCATACCTGAGTTGTGAAACACAGACCTCTCAAAGGCTGACCTATACACACCGAGTGAGAGCCAGAGTCTCTAGAAAAAATATCTATCACACTCACTAGCTACATGTCATGGGTTGAGAGGGAGAATAAGAAGGCAGAGAAAAGCAATACGCTTTACAGCACAGTGTGACAATAGAATGGGCACAACAGCTGAGTTAGAACTGACCTTGTAAGAAAGGAAGTAGTGAATCTTTCAAAATACATTTTTATTATGTAGAAACCCAAGACATAGTGTACAGTATTCTCGTTGGAACTGTTGTTACAGAGGAATATTAATGGAATTAATTTCACCAAAGATTTCATTTCAGACAATAGAAATGTTAATTCCTTGTTCTAGTACTGAACAAATAAGTAGAGAAAACATGTTAACATGAACAAATACAATGCTATGTTAGAAATGAATGCTGCCTTCAAAATTAACCTCTTGAAACAAATCCACCAGCACACGCCCACTCGAACATATGGGTATTGAACATGTAGATTCAGTAGGAGTATCAGTTTAGGTCTAATTCTAGTGGGATTTGCAATATGGTCCACAAAACATCGACACTACACAGTGAAAATTAGCATCATTATATTTACACAGAATACTGACAAAACACACAAAACAGAACCTAAAGAGAAGTACAAAATAAGACTCACTGTTTTAATCCGTATTGTTAGTTTCCACTTCACAGTCTCAGCCTCTTTTGTGAGGAGATTAACCGTTATCCAAACAATTTCTAATAAAGTTAACCACTTATAATGATCTTTAAAGGGTTGATTTGGACACAGATTGATATGGTTCAGTTGTTCAATTCCCTAATTATCACTGTTCATCCCTCCGACCCATCTTATGGCGCATTTCCACTACAGGGCCTTGCTCGGCCTCGCTCGGTATGGCTAGGCCTTGGTAAGCCAGGCTCACTTTATGCTGCGTTTCGATTACAGTTTAGTAGCTGGGGCAGTAACTATAGTAACGCAGTGTAGGCGGAGCCGTGACGTCATCTTCAATGCGAACCACAGAAAACCAACATCAGCCGTTAGCTGTTAGCACTCAAGCTCACAGCTCCTCATATCTGTTCAGAAACTAGATAAAAGTTAAACAAGTACAAACCACAGACTGTCTGTGTCATGGCGAATACAGTCGCTGGTTTATTTATGTCTGTATAGGCTGTTGTTGTGAGTGTGGACGGTCGGAGCATATACTGCGTTAGCTAAGCCGATCTCCATTCAGAAAACACACATTTTAAAAAGTGTTTTTTTCGCCTGCCGTCTGTCTGCAGACTTGTCAAAGCATTAATTCATGGTTTTTACTAACCGGTATCAGTATGTTGTTACTTTGGCATCATTTTGAAATGTGTATTACAATTAAATTACGGTCAAATATGTTAATTTTGTTGTAGTTGTAGCCCCCTTGCCAGCGATTCTCTCTCTAGTTTAGCATACTCAGCCCGACTCAGCCTGGTTGTTGGCCAGGAAAGAACCTCAATTTTATGGGGCCAGAAAAACTGTGAAATAGTACCAGCTAGTCGGAACTACGCCAAGTGGAAGCGCAACCAAAAACAGGCCGGGCACGGCACGGCACGTTTAAAGCGAGCTCCGCGCTGTAGTGGAAATGCGCCATTAGTTTAATACAATCAATCAGATGAGATTCTCTGAGACGCTGATTGTGATTGCACCAAGGTCCTTTATGTCTTTATTCAAGTCCATCAACATATTGGTTCATATTTGAACATTATTAAACCCTTTAGCAATGGATTTCATAAGCAACCTGTGATCCGAAGAGTAGACTTTGACTGAGGAAGAGCTCCTCAGGATCTGCTGTAAGGGGTCCCTCATTTCCGTCCGCTGGGTTTTTGCGAAGCCCCATCCCCCCTGATCTGCTCAGTGTCTGCACCATTTCGTGGTCCAGGAGAGCCTCTTTCATACCCTTCTGCTGGACAAACCCACTCATCATGGGACACCTGGATGAAGTGGAGCCGATGACAGGCTTGGTTCTGTTGAGAACATACATCTCGTGGCCGTGGTCGTCGCGGTACTCTTCGAGCTGCGCAAACATGGTGGGTCCATCAGAGTAGTCGTTCACATAGAGGATGCTCTCTTCCTTGCTGGTACAGTAGGACCCTCCTCCTTCTTCTTTGCGGAACTGCTGGTGACGAGTGTAGATCATTATCAACAGGAGAACAGCAGTTAGTGCCAGCAAGGAGATACCAACAGCAATGGCGGTCTGCGTAGCAGGGCCAAGAGCATAGAAGTCCATGCTGTCCTGTTCATAGAGCAGCTCCTGGCTAACGTCCAGAACCTCTGGCTGATAGAAGGAGCTAGATGAAGAGGAAACAACGGATTGCATGTTCAAACGTGGCCAGAACTGGGATGAATATGAAGAAGAAGACATGTTGACAGCCAGATGAAAGGTGACTTTGGCTACACCACCGGGGTTCCAGGCTTCACACTCGTAACGCCCAGCATGTGCTACAGTCACGTTGCTGAGGAACAGCATGCCGCTGCCCATGTCCGGATCAAAGCTGTCCCTCTCGCCGCCCTCCTCGGTCCCACGCACAAGCCCCTGGATTCCTCCAACACCTCCAATCTTGATCCCTCCACTGCTGGGCAGGGCTGTAACCACTCCTCCAGCTCCAGGCCTGAAGACCTCCCCATTGGGTCCCAGCTCCTGAACCAGGCCTCGAGGTGATAACTGGGCCTTGCCATGGGAGGCTTTCTTCCAGGTCACTTGGGGCTGAGGGTATCCTGAGGCCTGGCAGGAGACTCGGAGGCTCTCCCCTAATCGCACAGTCAGGTGGCTTGGCTCCAGCTGCACCACAGGTGGGATGCAGACCAGACTGTTGGGAGCCACCTCCACCAGGCTGAGGTGGGAGAGGCGAGGAGGTTCAGAGCACATCAGCCGCCGCTGTTCGGCAGAGCTCAGCAGACGCTGTCCGTCTTCGCTGATCCAGGTTCTCAGCCAGCCTAGAGCACAATCACAGCGCCATGGGTTTTCTGGAGATGAGGAATGGAAAAGACAAAGTTAACCAAGTGAATGGTTTTGTCAACTGCTGTTTCCAGTGACAACTTTGAATCCCTAGTTTGAACCTGTATGGCAGAGAATCTCTTGGTTATAGAACAAACTGATGAATATCATTCGGTAGGATACAAAGCGCCGAAAAAGATGTTAAATGGACCTAGATGTTGGTATTCATTTTTCTTCCATTTTCAAGCAAAGTCACAAATTGGCTCAATTAATATTCGCCTCATGTTCACTTCCATTCTGTGCTAGTTATGGGATAACAAAAACATTGCCTTGCATGTGTGACAGTGCCCTTACTTGGGTTAAGGTTCCTGTAGTGCACACGATATAACATTTTGAAGGTCTGAGCAAACTCATGTGATAAGGTTGAAAGTCCCAGAACAGCTGCTAAATTGACCCTCAGGCGCTTTTGTCTGACACATATTTATTTTTCTCATTAGTATTTAAAATAATTTTGAGCTCTTAGTGAGTTGTATATTTTTGTTTTTTTTGTTTCATGGTTCTGCCACGAGCTCACAAGACAGTTTTGGGTAAGACGTGGGGATAACGGTCCGTGCAGGACTAATTGCCCTCAACAGGAGGTCCCTTTTGCATACAGTGTGCCTTTAAATTTTTCTTTCTAAATGATGTCTTTGAGGGATTACTCTTTCATTAAAGGATTATGGCTTGATGAAACCCTTTGATAGATAAAACATTTTTAGAGGCACTTCATTTTCATTGACATGAGCAAGAAGCCAGTTCTTAAAAGTTGTGGTATGGAAGCATTTTTCAAGGCACTTTGAATTCCAATACATCTTGGAGGATTATGCCATATTACAGTCAGACATTATGTGTTTAGGTATTCTGTTCACGCTCTGCCTACCTGTGACACGGAGCACCTGCAGGCTAACAAGCGGTTTGAGTGACGAAGCCCCCAGGGTGCGGAGGTGATTTCTGCTGAGGTCCAACAGAGCCAGAGATGACAAGCCAGACAGAGCCTGCTCAGCCAGCAGCTCTATGCTGTTCTCTTGCAGGTGAAGTTCCTGCAGACGCTGCAGATGGCACAAAGACATAAAGCAGAGAAAGGCAAATGTTAAAGGAGGAGGAAAAGTGATGTCAAAGTATAAAGACAGGATGACTCAATTCCACTTGACTCAGTCTGCACTGTATTACAGTATGCTAGGGATTAATCTGACATGTTGTCATGTCATGGATTTACAGTTGCAGACGTCATCCTATTTAAGCCTTAAAAAGGTATCCTGTATTGGAATAGCTTGAGCTTTGCTAGCAAAAGTTAAGCTTTTTCCCTTTACCAAAAACAACTGAAGGCTGCTAAGAAATCAAAAGGTTGGTTGCTGTATTACTATATATTAACTGCGTTTTGATAATTTCTGAATTATTGGCAAGAAGTCAGACACATTTCTGACATTGTATAGCATCCAAAAACCTACTGTCACTAGAGCTGCTGTGATTACCCTCTGTATAATGTGAAAGTATGATGGTATTCTTAGTGCGACCACCACTACAGGGGTAATTTTGTCTGCAATGTCTCACACCTGTGCAACTTCACACAACTGACGCATGCTTCAGCAAAGTGCATTTCCACCATTTTTCCCACACCTGTCATCTTAGTTTTTTATTTTGAAATGCCTTTTCTCCTTGTGTCTTGTCTTGTTTTACTTCATGTCTTTGTATTTTCCCACCTGTGTGATTGTCTGATTTTGTTGACCTTCTGCCCTTGTGTTTTTTCCAGCTGTGTCTTGTCTTTATGATTAGTTTTGTATGTATACATCCCTGTCTTCTATAGTGTTCCCTGTCAGTTCGTTTTCATTGTTTCCCTAGTTTGGTTCAGTCTGTCAGAGTTCCTGGCTACCTGCCTGTATCATTCTGGATTTTCCTCGTCTATCATCTTGTTTTTGTTACTCTTTTTGCTTTGCAACTTTTCCTTTTGTTTTTACCTTGCATGTTCCTTCAGTTTTAGTTAGTGTTTATTTGTACCTGCTTTAATTTAATAAAGCTCACTTTCTGTTTATACTTTTATAAAAATCTGTCATTTTGCAATTGGGTCCAGATTTTCCTTTCCCGACAACAGCACCCAAAGAAAACGAGTGCAGAACGTTTTCATGGGTTTGCCGTTACACTGAGGTAGTGATCATTCTTACAGTGGTCTTCAGGCATTATAATACTTGTAGCTTGTGCCAATTTCACAGCTTTCTTTGTATTTTCATTGCAATACAATATTCATAGTAAACACCAGTGCTGGAATTAAGGAAGGAAGTTGGTGTCAAAATTAGTTATGTGGTTAACGCATCATGTTTCCAGATTAGTCCACAGCATTAATGACAGCCTTACTTTAAACATTTTTATCCATCCATCCATTAATCCATTCCATTATCTCATCTCATTAACCTGCAGTCCCCTGAAGGTGTAGTCCTGCACTTTACTGATCTGATTCCCGGCGAGGTACAGGATCCGGAGGTGCTCCAGACCCCGAAACATGTCCGGAGTGACCAGGTGGATGAGGTTACCGTTGAGGGCCAGCTCCAGCAGCTGCCCCTGGCTGAGGAACGCCCCCGGCTCCAGGGCTGAGATGCTATTATTCTGAAGGTAGAGGTAATGAAGGCTGCCAAGGCGAGGCAGGTCCTGAAGACGGATCTGCACTATAGCGTTGTCCTGGAGGAAAATGGTCTGCAGCGGAGACAGGGTAAATCAAATCAGTGGAGTGATCACAAATGAATTACATTAGAGACACAGTGGAGGAGATGTGATGTTTGAATTTGTTTTCTACAAGAGTGTGAGCGTGGCCTGTTGCCGTGCTGTGCTCACCGAGTAGAAAAATGTATTAACCATGAGGAGAGATTACATTAACAACGGGGCCACTGTAAAAGCTGTCTGCGCTCACTGGGCTGTGTAGAGCTTTGGATATATGTTAATGTAGGCATTACAAACAATGTGGAACGAGCAAGTTCCAGATAGTAATGGCTCTGACAATGTGGGTTCTGCAGCATGTTCCCTTTCCTTTGTGGCTCACTTATTTTGCCAAATGCTGCAGAAATCACAGACCTTGTCAGCAAACAAAAAATAAATGTTCGAGTGATTGGAACTACACACTTTGTGCTTGACCCACAATGCATGGCTTGTGCAACCACTGGAGATGTTTTTCGAAGGAAGCAAACACGGCCCCTGAGTTGAAGAATGATCAACGAGATAGACCTGCTGATTGAGGTTAATGGAACAATTTATGCGCTATGGTCTTCATTAATATTCATGGGCTTCAGTAATGTTGTGGGGCCTGAACCCCGGGAGGAAAATACATGTAATGTTTAACATCTTCTCAACAGATGATCAGAGAGTGTGCAAGAGTCACTTTCTGAGCAAGAATGAATAATTACACAGGCAACAGCGCAGCCCCCCCCTCAGGCTCGCATCAAAGAGGGTCACGGCGAATTGATGAACCACAATCATTTCAGGGTAATAAGAATGGATCAGCGAGGGAGTTAACAGATACAAAAGCACTGATGCGGAAGGGTGAATGGGGAGGAGGGGGGGGGGGGATCAGCTGCCATGCTACATTATGTGAGCTAGCACCCTCAATTATGGTCGATCGGCCAACTGACCTCGGTTACAGAGGGGACGCCATGCGGGATTTCTTTGATCCCTAGAGATCCGCACTCCACTGTTAGGCTGTAGCAGCGACAGCCGGACGGGCAACCAACGCACGGTCGAGGGACGAGGGTCCCGATGATGAGGGCGAGGCAGGAGAGCCACGAGATGACCATGGCGGTTTTTACAGTAGACCTTCAGAGACAAAACCTTGAGAGGGAAGAGAATAGACACATCAATCACTCAGTTACAACCCATTTCCTTCAGGGTAATGCATCCACCATGCAAAGATTGACAGTGGCTGCAGTTCTGTTACACATGCAGATTGTTGTGAAATGACAAGGGAGGCTTGATAAAAAGCACTTGTTTACTCAAATGAAAAGTGCGCTTGTAAATAAAATGGATTATTATTATTATAAAAAAAGCATTGGGAACATATGTCCTTTTCCCCGCCTGGTTTGCATTCAACTGTGTCTAGTCAGTGGAATTGCAGCAGCTTCTATTATGGGCTTCAATTAATTAAAGATGGGATAAAAAGATGTGCAGGTTGCCTCAAGGACCTCTCTCGCCTTTTTAATGCATGCGCAAACACACTCACACTCCTTCTATTTCCGTCTCTCTCTTTGTCTTACTTTGTCCCAAACACACACTCGTGGAAATGTGCAGCAAAGAGATGGAGGCTTCCGTTTTGACCCTGGTAATCTTTGAAACCATGTTTACTTTCTCAAAGCAAACCTCAATCGGCAAGCAGCTCTAATCATCTTATCAAAAAACATCAGTGTCGGCCGCTAGCTTCACCTTACAGCAATATCTTCCTTTGATATAAACCCATTACTGAGCAACTCATCCGTGCACTTTTTTTTTTCCTATACAGCCCAGGAGGGATTTATTGTCTCGCTCTGCAGTTCATGTTGGACATCCAATATCATGCAGCCCGGCGGTGTTCACAATAGTTAATCGGCAACAGATAACCTGAACATACTGCAACGTTGGAGATAACATATGTGTTGAAATGTCACACTGAGCCTGTCAATCAGTTGTAGATTTATTAAACCTAGAGAAGCCGCCATGTCATTGATCGAATCACAAGTCTGACAATATTATAAAACATTCATGTGCACCACGGCCTTGGTTCCATATCCCATTGAGCCTGTCTGACTTGTGAAATCTCTAGTTTGCTTAAGATTGTGGAATCACTCAGACGGATAATTGATGGCATTTGCATCTCGTGCGGAATAATTTGGATATGATCTAGATTATTAATTATTTGAATGCACACAGATCTCATTACTGATGAAGGATTAGAGGGTCTTGAAGCTGCAAAATATTCAGTTTGCAGGGTGTTTGAACTATTCTGTCAGATTGATATCAAGCGTGTCTCATTTGTTGCGCTATAATCCAAACCAGTAATTTACTGCCTAAGTGCAAAAGCAATGGGATCACTATTTCAGCGCCTGAGAAGTCATTTACTGTGCAGCCGTACTGCATTATTAAGGAAATGAGTAATGATGAACTGGATTTTTAATATTGCATGTTTGAAAGCATTTACGAGGATAGCCGGGTAGATTAATACAATGTGACCTACATAAGCCTTTCAATCGTCTTCTCTCAGCGAAACAGAGAGAGACACTTATTAAAAAAAAAGCATGCCATTTCCTCTCCAGAGCGCTCCCCAAACAAGCGTAGGAGAGAAATGATATACTTCTATTGTTGGGGAGGGAAAGCGGAAAATGGAATTTTGAATAAGGCCTTGGTCTGTCATTGAGCTTTTGCTACTTCTCGCTGTGAGATGACTTTTAAATAGCTTTGACTTGCCTGAGAAGTCTCAGTAGGGAACCAGAGAAGAAGACGCTCGCCTGCCCCTCGGCTAAGAATACTCACAGAACAGGGTGCACAGTCTGATATTTGTTGTTAGAATATGAGCCAGACATCAATGCAAATGACACGCTGCCAGGTAGAGAAAATAGCTTATGCATTTCTATTGCTTATTTCACTTTTACATTGAGTTTAAATAAAGCCTCAGAGGCAATCATGCCATGGTTTGAGTGTTCACCTATAGAGTCATCAGTGTCTGCAAACAGAGAAGACACAATGGAAAAACACTCGCGGGATGTTTTTTCTAAAAATAATGCTGCTGACTGCAACTTGTTTTACGGCTTTTGCTCTTCCATTTCAGATTCAGTTTGCACTCACTCTGCTCATCTTGTGTCATGCTGATGTGGGATTTCAGTGGTAAGAGGTCAATTTGTTCATTTCAGTCGCAGTAATCCTCAGCGGAACATGCGTAATCTGCACAATCAGATGCTCGTTAGCTAAACCGCTCTCGCGGTTTTCATGGATGGG